ATTATTATTATTATTATTATTATTATTATTATTATTATTATTATTATTATTATTATTATTATTATTATTATTATTATTATTATTATTATTATTATTATTATTATTATTATTATTATTATTATTATTATTATTATTATTATTATTATTATTATTTTATTTTATTTTATTATTTTATTATTATTATTATTATTATTATTATTATTATTATTATTATTTTTATTATTATCATTAGTAGTAGTAGTAGTAGTAGTAGCATTACTATTATTATTATTAGTAGTAGTAGTAGTAGTAGCATTACTATTATTATTATTAGTAGTAGTAGTAGTAGTAGTAGTATTGTTGTTGTTGTTATTATTATTATCATTATTATTATTATTATTATACGATGAGCGGCCTACAGGCCATTTTTTCTAGGAAATAAAAAGAAAGAAAACCATCTAGCAGCATTTTCAATGAAACGTTAATTGTCCATATTTGTATGCTGAATTTTTGCATTTGATTTTACTGTAGATAATCATGATCTTCGTCGCCTCGACGTATATATTCGGCTTAGTCGGCTTTTGCATAGCGTATTGCGCCACAAGTAAGTCCAAAATTTCGATTTTTTTTTGTCGTTTGTTATTGTACGTCCATGCTGTATATTGAGGTAGTTGGTCTGTTTTGTGTTATGTGTAAACTGTATTTAAAAATGTTATTTTAATTCTAACTGTTTATATTTCTGTCCATCAAAACACACGCACACACACACGCACGCACACACACACGTCGTTATATATGGCAGTATCTACTAGAAAATTACTGTTCACCACTTTCCACTGTTGACAGAATGTGGTGAGATCAGACGGAAGCGAAAGACAAGGCCGGTTGCTATTTACTACACGCAGACGAGCGATGGTGTCACCAAGGAGGAAGGGCCAAAACAGAAAGATGACAAGGACAATGCAAACAACAAGCAGGAGGTGTAGACGAATCATACCCTTCTCACGAAGGCAATTAACAAGAATGCTAATAAACAGTAAGGGCACTATAAGCTACACTGCTGGCAATATCATTGAAGTGCACTGCATTCGGTAAATTGCTAAGTATTTAAAGGTACCCAGTGCAGTGTTTAGGGCTTGGAAATCCGATTTTCAAAGTCAATATTCTAGTCACTTATCCACATACTGAGTTGAAACCACACTATCCCAGTGTGTGGTTAGTGTGGGTCTTTTTGCTCCACCCAAAATGCAGACGGAAATAGTTACTGGAAGGGCCTTTGCCTGATGTTTAGGGTACCACCCAGAAAAATCAGGGTTTCGCGCGGTCATTATGATTGCCTTCCGCTAGTTGAGCAGATCTTGCTGCAAGTCATTTTAACAGTCTAGTAAATCAAATCAAAACTCATTTAAGTATGGGATAGCTAGCCTAAGGAAACCTATCTTAAGAAAATTTAAGTTGAACCCGATGTATAAGAAGATTATGTACTTTATGGAGACTGGAAATTTTTCTTTGAAAAGTAAATACTTCTTCTACATATGTCACTAGATGATGAATAGACTATTAGATGTTGAATATATTTGTAAACAAAATACTTAAGAATCAAGACGCTAAGATACAAAGCCAATATTGACACCCGTGTGTATCGATGTGTAAATTGTTTCTGTGATAAGCCGTGATTGGCATAATAATATATGCTGTTATTGCAATGGGCTATATATTTCATGAATGTACACAGTGACATGGCTTTGCCCTTCTTAAGTCTGTATAGACATATTCATTTTAGCTATGCGGAACAAGGAAACTATTGAGACAATCATTAAGTCTATGTATGGATGCTGACATAGCTGAAGATAGCTTGTGGAAATGTGTGATGTCTTTCATGTTCGATGTGCATGTAGAGACATATTCATTTTAATAGTACATGTAATATTAAAATGATGTACTCTCTTAATACGCCGTTTTCATACAGAATCATATGCGTACGTGGCAAAACACGGCTTATTTTGTTGGCATTTGAATATCCTGTAGACATTGGAGTCTTAGCTACTCGTTGCATTTACGTCAGAGTCAGAATATGAATACCTTTAACGAGCAGACCCGTGGCGTAACACACTAGCTTCACGGGCGGCGGTGGGTGGTACTGACAGGAGCGAGTAGACGACTTGTCATAACTACAGTTTACACGTGTAAGCCATGCATGTGTACCTGTCAAAGAGCCCTTGGGCCTAGGAAAACAAATGTTATGTTTCCTGTTTTAGTCCTGAAAAAATAGGGTCGTTTGGTAGGGATTATCTTCTTTTTTTCATTCTTTTTTTTCATTCTTTTCTTTTTTATTAGACTTCTAGATCTCTAGTGATCCAACTTATACAATACAGTTCAACAAAGTACAACTTGCATGAGGACACTTATATCTTCAATGTCAATGTTGGAAAACCGTTTTCACAATGTTTCATCACTCAGGTGTCAGATCATGGAGGTAGAAAAAGTCGAGTAGCTGGAAAAATGTAAGTCTCTTGCAGGGATCCACACAAAAAAAGTCAAGGGTCGGCAGTTTTTTTCTAGGGTCGGTCGGGAAACAGGAAACACAAAATTTTTTTCCTAGGCCTTGTCGCATTTGGTAATACCACATCTCAGTACAACATATTGGAGGAAACGAATCAAGGTTCAAGGCATTAAGTCTGTCCAGATTGTACTAAATGTGCGGACTATGTATTTCTTTCTTTGTGCAAAGAAGTGGCAATTTATGTATCTCAAATTGGTTGGTACGCTCGTATCTCTATAGTGACATTTACAAAAATTAATTCAATGCAATTTCAGGGCGGCAAAACGAAGATATTCTGGATCAGGATATCTATTTTCGTAAAATCTATTTTCCTAAAAAATTAGGAGTCCCGTTATTTTTGGTACCACCAATAAATAGCTAGAACCAGTCAACTATCAGCGACACCGCATTTTAACCACATCAATACAGTATGGGATAGGGGTGGAGTCAACCACTCCTTACGTTACTCTAAATGCACTCTTAAGTTACAAAAAGGATTAGGCAAACAATGCTATGTTCTATCTACATCTATATCTAAGCTGTACATGTTTCTTCTCTCTTCTTTAGACATTTGTATACGAATTTACAGTTTTACATCATGGTTAATTGAAAAAAAATTGATATGAATATATCATCCTTTGTTAGATGCGCCCGCTTTGTTCTAACTGTATTCCAACAACAAAGGCAGATCGTTGATCGCTATACAATGGACACTCAACAATAAAGATAATAAAGATAAACAATAAAGATAGAAAAAGTGACCTTTAAAATCCAGGTTTGCTGCCCTGAAATCCCTTCGGGTGCATTTGATATGTACTTTTATGTAACGTTACTATCCTAAAATAAACCTCCTTCGAAAAACCTTAACTTTGTTATTGTCATTAGTGTTTGATTCTTATACTTGTAAGTTCCGCTGCAGTACCAAAGGGAAGCCACTAGGGGGCCCAATTAAAATCTAATCATTTTCAGTTTTCGTAACACCCTACCAACGCACCAAGTATGAAACCAATCCATTCAGCAGTTCTTGAGTTATGTTGTTTGCCAACAGAATGACAGACAAATGCAACTGAAAATATAACCTCCATGACATTTCATGGAAATAAATATAGGTAACTATATAACGCACCAAATGAGAGTTTGAAAATACTGTTGTGGAAAAATAAATGTGATTTGGGAAATACCCGATAAATAGGCCATAAACGGCGTGCAGTTCAACCCGAATTTACACCACGTTTTGTTGTGGAAATAAAAACACACGACAGCCCCTTGCTGCATGTTTCCCATCATTATATCACGTTAAGTGCACATAAATGCACTAGGCCACACCGTCTTAATTTTATGGATGACATCCTCTGAAGACCCCCAAACTAGTGCGCGCGGGCGAATAAAAAAATTCCGGCCAAAAATAAAAAATGCTACTAAACCACAGGAATACAATGCTGGTATTGTGAATGTGCGGCAGTACTTAGTGGCGTATACGACAATGCAAGCCGGCACAAGCTGGCTTTTTCCGGAATTTCTGAATCAGCACTGTACTGTGTTTTTGGGTCGTGGAGCTTCGGTAGCCTGGGTGCCCGGCTCCGTATTGCCACTAACTGCCATGGACTACCCAGGCCTAGAGCCAGACCAGAGCCTTGGTGGACGTGATCTTATTTTTTTAGAACAGGCGAAAATCAATGCGCGCGCCGATGTCATCCATAAAATCAAGTCGGTGTGGCCTAAATGTAGAAAATTGTCAGTCAATCAAAGGTCCAGTAAGTGTATCATTAATTGCCCCCAATCACATATAAACCAGTAGACCTGTGCGAGAGTACGTGAGGATTACTAATGCTGATTTCCTCACTGGCGACCTTCCAATTGGTCGCTATTTTGGGCACACGCTCTACACCGGCGTTTAGATTAGAGAAATTATATGCATCTCGGCCTGGGAACGTCATAGGCGAAGGGATTGTATAAACACGGGAGCTATATTCGTGGCTCCCGTGCGTCTCTGTAAGATTCAATTTGTACATCGGCACGTTTTGGTCTATATACAGCCGTGCAGAGGAGGCAAGAGGTTTAGCGTTGGGCGGTGAGAGGAACTGCCAATGGACTGCATGGTCATCCATACAAGACGGTGAGTGTTTAACGTTCCACGTACTTAGTCTGAGGAAAGCTTAGAGCACAATTACACTAGTACTGGTACTGTTATGGTGTGTAGGCCACTGCCGGGGCTCTGATTTCGGTAGGCTACCGGCTGTACGTCGTGGTAATGAATATGTGACGACCTTCACATTCAAAAACATTTTCTTAGCACTTGCTTAGAGCACAATCACACCGGTACTAGTACGGAGTGTTGTCCCCGGCCGGGCTCTGATTTCGGGAGGCCGCGGCCGGCTGTACGTCGTGGTAATGAAGATGACTACGTTTACATTCAAAAACTGTTCTTAGTGCTAACCCACCTAGGGTTTTTTTAACGAAGCGGTTCAATGCAAGGCCTATACGACCACTCCTCGACATTGAACTAGAAATATGAGAGAAACATGGCTATGTCAGGAGATGGCGGTGAACGTTTGATTTGAAACCCTTTAGATTGTAGGTTGGTGGGAAACATTTGTCAGGGAGGGAACCCCAAGCTTGGTCGTACGGGGAAAGAAAGATTCAAAAACCTTTTTCTTAGCACTTCACATATAGCACAATTACACCGGTACTGTTACGGTGTGTAGCCCCCGGCCCGGGGCTCTGATTTCGGGAGGCCGCCGGCTGTACGTCGTGGTAATAGATATAGACGACCTTTACATTCAAAAACATGTTCTTAGTGCTAACCCACCTAGGGTTTTCCTGTGATTAAGGTCGTTCTGTGGAGCTGATCAGTGATGTAAAAAAATGGCCCGGTGGACTGCCGGACGCCGGGAACTTTTGTGTATTCATCTATTTATGAAGATTCGCCACATGTGTGGAAGAAATTGCAATGAGAGGTGACTATCACCTCTTCAAGATGTCAACCCTAAGACGAGACAGTAAGGTCTCCCAGACGGGGCCGTTTTGTTTTTTGCCTTCTAAGGAAAAATAGTGTTGCAAGAGTCCACATATGGTACTCTCCAAGCAGAGGTTGTGGGGGAATGACCGTTAGCTTTTTATATATGGCCGTTTTTTTGTCGCTACCCCCACCAACGGCGACCTTCTCTGGCTAGTGGATACTGCCTGGCTAATTTGATACTGTCTTTTTGCCACCGAAAGGGATCTGCTTGGAGATTACACACATGAGCCCGTGTTATAAGTTGCAGCCGTGATATGAAAGAGTATAATTTAGGCGAAGAACACGGAGAGAGCTCGTTACGGGGGAAAATAATTGCCAACCCCAATATCGTCCATTATGATTTTGGTTTATTTTCTTTGTTATATACCCTCGTCTTCAGCTATATACAGTATAAGTCTAAGGTAAGGTAAGGTCAGATTCTAGTGGATACTCACATAGAAACTATATGGTTTTATATGATCTAAATTACTTCTTTCTCCCTTTTTATTATGCATTATAAGGAAAATAAATTTTCATGACTAAGCATAGAGGTTAAGCATAAGATCTAAGCATAGATCTAAGCATAGAGGTTGTTTAACATTCTTATATCCTGTACTTACAGTTTTGAAAAAAATATAATTGTATAACAATATCGAATAAAAGAAAAAAAAGCGTAATAGCATATTCAACTATTCCTACAGGCAAGGTCTTATATATAAGATAAGAGCGCCTTTGTGGCATGTTATTTCGTTATGTTGCCTTTTGAGGCCTGGTTTCATCAGAGATCAAATGGAGTTTCAAACCCACCGACTTGCGTCAGAACCACCGACTCGGGCTGCCTTCACTAAGCACGTTTCCTGGCTCGTGAAGTCATCCTCTTTGTTGTGTGACTTGTTTTTGATATGCGAGGCCACAATTTTCATCAATGATTATTCTGAATGAAAAGCATGCACTTTGAACAGATAAAGATTCAGATTTATTGTAAACAACTTGCATGTCACATACAGCTTTGCATGATAACTTGAAATCTGTTAATTCTTATATCAAAATCGTACTTAACATAATGACGGGATCATATAGAGCAAATTACACAAAGATAACAATACATATCTAAAGATATTTAAAGGCAGTTGAAACAAGTCGGCACACATATATCATTAAAAACAAGAAGATAAAATCAAGCAACTTCGGTTAGATCTACACTATATTGAAATGATTAGCTCTTATTGAAAAGCTTCAGAACAGTTGTTTTCTATAACACATACTGATTAGATTGAATGGAAAACATAATTCCATCGGTATCCAAAACGTCAGAAGTAAATCATAAATTTGGCACATCGTTTAATTGTGAATACACCAAAAATTACACAAGTTTGGGTTTTCACTGCTGAATTATAGTTAGAAATTACACATTATGTTGGCCGTCATTTTGTTGCGTAGAATTTATTGATTGAATGGAAAACAGAATTGCATTGCCATTGGTATCCAAAACGTCAGAATCAAATAATAAATTTGGCACAATTGTGTACACCACTGTGACAACATTACACAAGTTTGGGTTTTCACTGCTGAAATATAGTTACAAAATTGCACAGTAAGTTGTCCGTCATTTTATTGAGTACAGTTCATCGAGATGCCCCCGCATATTTATATCTGCAGGAAGGCGATACTCGTACCAGCTTTGTTCCTCAAGGTCGTTCTCTCGCGAGATTCAACGAGGTTTTAAGAGCTCTTCTGTGCGACCTCGACTGATCTAAAGACCAGCGCAAACCAGTTCGACCTACGTGCTGTTCATGCGAAAAGGCCTCGCCATGGATACAATATACGTAAGTAATAAACGTATATGGATTTGTTACTCTCCAAGCAGTGGTTGGGCCTGTTTTTGGAGGTCTCTTTCGCTTTTTGGGTGTTTTTTCGGAATTTCTAGTATTTTGTCGGCTTTCCTTTTTGTACCCTGACCTACATGTGTAATTATATATATATCAATGGAAAACGAAACGTGAAAAACAGGCCTAATGCATATGTAACCTGGCCTCTCCTTGGAGATTACGGATTTGACTCTTTCTTAAACTGCCAATTGCTTCGGTTTTGTGAGTGATTCAGAATATATAGATCCAGTGAGATTTCTCTGCTAGCTTTTGGTCCTTTTCACAATCTTTTTACGGTACAGTATATAGGAACGGCTGTGTATCATTGATGTACAAAGCATGTTAATATACTTGATAATGGAAACGATTTCGGCCCTTTTCCCACTAGGATAAAATTGTCCGGATCGAACTGAATTGATTCGCTTTGATCCGGCTTCGATCCGGATCAATTCGGCTTGATCCGGACAATTTCATCCTAATGCGAATGTGGCCTTTATGATCAATGCAAGTCCTAGTAAATCTCATGTTCGTGCATAAATATTTATCATTGCTGCATGCATATTTATATTTTTCAGTTTATTCTGCAGATTATTGTCTGTACCTTAGTAATTCTGGAAGTCATAGCTGTCATCTTCTATTTGTGTAAGAAGTGCCACGGTAAATACAACTTATGTTATTGTTGTCGTTGTCATTCTGTTGTTATTGTTCTTGTTTTTCATGGAAGCCTAACTCTTTGCATGAAAATTATATAAAGAAGGAAATTCAAATCAATAACATTTCTTTTGCATCTTTTAATATCATGTCTTAGTTGTTTGTCTTATCATATATCGTTTGTCATGTACAAGATCAAAACCTGTAAAATATCATATCACATTACTATAGCAACATTTGAGTTATGATGTGAACGTATGTCGTTATAGTATGAGGTTATTGGATTGAAAATAATATTCTAAAGATCGAAAAACACCGAGGAAAATGAGGAACTCTATGTACAACATGATACGTTATTTTTATGTGATTGATGTTCCACTTTATATTTAGTGGAAAGAGATGGTTCATTTATGCTCACGATTCTTATGAATAAAAAAAATGATATTTTAGCATAGAATTGCATGTCGCTAATGTTTCATATATTTGAAGCAATAGAGAAACGTGCAACTTGAAATCTACTATAATTATTTCACATAACAGGCAGTGTTTGAACTATTATACTGATCCATAGATGGTACCTATCGTTTTGTTTTACAACAACAGACGACGACAAAAGGAGGCGGGAGGAATATGAGTTTTCTGCTGCCGAGTCCTTTGAGTTGACCAGCGCCGTCACCATTGTGTCCATCGTCTCAGAGTCTACAGACGACATCCCAGAGAAAAAGGCCTGCCCTGTCTGACTGTCTGAATCGTGGCTTCAGCTCAACGGGGAAGGAACTTCAAAGGAATGACATGACTCTACAGATAAATGCGGGGTCGTGTGGCGTAACGGCAGTGCTCGACTCGGAACCAAGAGGTCCCGGGTTCGAGTCCTGACATGCCACCGATCTTGTGCCCTTGGGAAAGGCACTTTACACGACTTTACTCACTTCGGTCAGGTGAAGATGAGTATTGTATTATCCCCTCTGTTGGTGGCGGCATTAATATCTCTTGTTCCCAACACGTCTTGTGATTACGCGTTGGAATATAAAAAAAAAGATAAATGATAAATAAGATCAAAGACGTGGGGTGGATTGTACTAACATTCTGTATTATTGGTAAAGGTTTCAGTCCATGATGATGCTTCCCTCTCTTTTACATTCTAGGTATTGTTAGAAATACTCCTGTATCATAATCGCTCATGTAAGGATTCGTCTGAAAATTATATTACAATTAATCAAATTAATAAATAATTGGCATTTTAGTTAGTAGTAGTTGTGTTTTTTAATCGCCATCTTTCGGAGAAGTACACCCGAGTCTGTCAAGGATGTGGTACCTGAATCTAGGACAGTGATTGGAGCCTGCTGTGG